AATGCTTTAATCAACTGAGTTGTACGATTGGAATAAAAATCTGTCTCCACTTTATTAATCATCAAGAAGAGAAGATAATATCCTTCTTCTCTGGGCTTCTGCTCTCGCCAACAGGACAGCTTACCGTCAAGTCCCTGTCGGCGGCGAGATATATATTGATATATATACGTTGAACTTGATCTGGACTCTAAAGCAATTAATTGAATTTGACTGAGAGATGATAGAGTTGGACAAGAGGGACGGCAATACGCGCCATTTTTATGCGGAACCAAGACAGGAAAAAGAAAGAGAGAAAGAGTGAATTATAAGGGGGCAGAAGGTGCAATTCAGCCCCTCTACTTTCGGCCCCTCTACTTAAAAGCAGTGCAAATCAGCCCCTTCACTTGACAAAACCCACAACTCAACCCTTCTGCTGACGATGACCTCATCAAATGTCATCTTTCCGTTTACATCCTTGTTACTCCGTTACCAAAGAATGGCTTGGTGCTAATATGGCATTGGGTGGGTGATGTGGCCAATTTACACTACAAAATTACTAAAGAATCCTCATCTACTTCCTTTTTTTCCATCCATCTTCTCTCTCCTCCTTTACATTCACTCTCTTCATATTGCAGATTTACTTCTTCTTTTTTTTTTTCCAAAAATTTAAGTTGAAATTTTCTTAAGATTAATCTAAACTCAAAAAAAAAAAAAAAAAACTCTCAAAATATGAAAATATAAAAATTAAGAAAAAGTTCAAAATTAAAATCAAAACTTGTGGCTTTATTGGCACCAAATGATTTACTCATTAAATCTCAATCTCTAGTAACTCAAAATTTACCTAATTTTATTTTATATAAAAGCACATGTAATATTTATTTCTTTTAGAAAAATATCTCAAAAATAGATTCATATATTTTTTAATAAAAACACAAACTAAAAAAAAGAAAAAAATTAAAAATTTTTATAAATTAATGAAATTTAAAATTTTAGGTATTTATTTTGAAATTTTATACCTAATAAATTAGGAATTTTAATTTTTAATTTTTAATTATTTGA